CTCATGAACATTTCCATCAACATGATATCATAACTATAGACATCAGATCTTGTTGACACTCTTCCTTCTATTCCATACTTTACACACCACATCAACATTATTTTTAAAAAATAAAAAATGAAAATACAATAAACAAAATAGCAAGTTCAAAAATAAATAAGAGGATTTGAATCAATATAAGTAACATGGAACATCACCTAATGCCATATATCCAATTATTGCTAAGGTTATGGTTTGCGCCATAAAATCCCCATCCCCTAAGATTTTTGCAATACCAAAATCAGCAACATGTGCAATCATATCTTTATCAAGCAGGACATTGTTGGGTTTCAAATCACAGTGAACAATGGGTGTCGCTTAACCATGATGTAGATATTCCAAGGTTGACGCAACATCTATCATTATGTTGAGTCTTTGTACGATATCTAGACAATAGTTGTGAGAATACAACCACTTGTCAAGGCTCCTATTAGGCATGTACTCTAGTACCAAGGCTCTAAAATCCAAGTTAGTGTAACTGCTGATGATTCTTATAAGATTTTGATGGTGACTATTGCATATCACTTCACATTCGACATCAAAACTGTTGAATGCTCTTTCTAACTGTGAATTGAAAACCTTAACTGCAATATTCATCCCATCTAAAAGCGTTCCTTTATATACAGAACCAAAACTTCCAATGCCGAGAAGGTTAGCTTCACTAAATGCATCTGTTGCATGTAAAAGCTCTTGGTACAAAATTCTTCTCCATGTCAGAGGCGATGAATCTGCATTCATTGGTAGCCTAACCTTTTGTTTTCGACGTTGGATCAACACAAATAAGAGAGCCACCACAACAATTGTTGATGCAATAGGAGGTCAAATATATTTCAAAAGAGGAACATTCTTCGACCTTGATTGTTGGTGCTTATTGCTTCTGCAGGGTGGGACTTGCAGTCGGGCTACACCACAAAGTGCATCATTATGCATAAATGATTGAGCTGTAAAGTTCATGAAATGTCCTCCAGTTGGAATTTCTCCTTGGAGTTTATTAAAGGATACATTCAGATATTGGAGATACCTAAGCATCTCTAAGGACATGGGAATCTCTCTAGAGATATTGTTGCTGGAAAGATCCAAGAATTCCAAACTTATTGAGTTGCCCAGTGATTGAGGAATGTGTCCTTGCAGTTTATTATGCACCAAGGAGAAATTAACTAATGATTGAGAGCTTCCAATGGTGCTGGGGATATCACCTGATAACTGGTTCCATGACAAGTCTAGTTGTGTTATGACCTTCATATTTCTGACATCTAATGGTAGATTACCATTGAGAGAGTTTGTCGACAAATTCAAACCCAATAGATCCTTAAGGCTCCACGAGTTTGGAAGTATCATTGAAGTTAAGTTGTTGGAGTCCAAGTAGAGTCTTCTTAGAGACTTGAGGTCTCCCAAGCATGTTGGTTTCAGTCCAGAAAGCTTATTGTTACTTACGTAAATGTCTCCCAACTTAGTTAACTTGCAGAGATCATCTGGGATGGGACCTTGTAATCTATTGTGTTCAAGGTACAAACAATCGAGATTTTGTAACCCTCTGATTGGTGTTGGGATAGGTCCGGTCAACTCGTTGCTATCCATATAACTTGCATGCTGCTCAAATTGCCGATTCCACTGGGGACGCTGCCCTTGATCTTGCACCCAAATGCTCCAAAAGTTCGTAAAGAAGTAGACAAATTACCAATTGAATCAGGGAGTATGCCATTAAATTGATTTAATGATATGATCACTTCTTCCAAATGTCTGCAATTGGTCAAAGCAGTGAAAAATCTTAATTCTGGAGTTGAAGATTCAACTGTCAAGTTATTTATACCAAGATAAAGCCGTTGTAGGAGTGTTAAACTACCAAGCGTATTTGGTATAGAGCCAGTGAAGGAGTTGCTTCCCATATCTAGAAGGGTAAGCTTAGAACAATTGGATATATTGCTTGGGATTATTCCTCTAAAATTATTGCTTGCCAGAATAATAACTTCAAGATTGGGAAGCCAAAGCCCTGTGGTTGAAGGAATATGTCCTGAGAATTGGTTGTCCCCTAAATCCATGATTTTTAATGTTGTCACATTGAATATTTTAGACGGAATGAGGCCAGTTAAGTTGTTGCTTCGGGTAATAAATTCTATGAGATTAAGGTTACCAATCTCATCAGGTAATGTACCTGTTGCAATGTGAACACTTGCATTACTCAAACAAGATTTAAACAAAATAAATAAGGTAGTGAAATCAGGAAGGATTATTTTCCCATTGATTTTTTTTTCTCTCCCCTTGAGCAAGACATACATGGACCAAAATAGAGGCAGTATCGATGAGGGGTTACCTGTTAAGCTATTAAAACTCAGATGTAGATATTCGAGCAAAGTAAGGTTTCCAATATTCCTGGATAGGCTACCTGTGAATTTATTATTTGACAGAGCTAATACTCGAAGCCCTTTGCATTCCCACAAGTTTTGGACGGAATTTAACTGTGAAGTGATTTTCCTAAAGATATAGCTCTTCAAGAACAGGGAAATGATAATGAATGCTTACTGGGAGGTTCCCCGACAGGCTATTGTTTTCGAAATCGATAATTTTTAGAGAAGAAATGTTGAAGATTGAAGATGGAATGGGCCCAGTTAGAGAGCCACTTTGGAAGCTCAATATTTCGAGGCGTGAAAGATAACCTATCTCCGATGGAAGTACACCTGCAAAATTGTCAGAAGCAACACTTAAATTTCTCCCTTGTTTTATCAGTTTGCTTGTTTGAATTAAAAATGTGATGGGTGCCATTAGGTGATGAAACGGAGTAAATTTCTGTGAATCTAAGTCCAAATCCATATTTAAAACTATTAATTTCAGGATACCCGAATCTGACTAGGTAACCAAACGAACAAAAAAAAAAGAAAAAGAAAAATCACACAAAAAATCTAATTGGCTAGAATTTTGCATAATATGATTGAAAGGTTAGAGAAAAAAAGAAACAGGTGTACAAGTTTATCAATTTTCATTCTCCCATGGCCCAGTTTGCATTGTGCTTGCGCAACAACAACAGTAACTCACTGCCAACCACATGGATTTGACTTGCCAAAGCAAATACGAGTGTGCCAAAGCAATTGGGTAATAAACCTCTTAACCACGTATTAATATATATATACACACACACACACACACACACATTTAAACAAATATGGAATTCAGGAGCACTCAAATTGCAAGTACCTGAATGCAGAGGAGCTCAAACATGAAACATATAGTCTAAATGTCTAATACATAAATTCAGAACTGAAGCACTCAAAAGTGTAATAATATTACAATAGTAAGTATGCATCTGTTGTACAACTATTGTGTACTTGTGTGTAGTCTTCTTATTCTTGTGATATGACATATTATTAAGGGTAAAATGCAAAAAAAAATCCCCAATCAACAACTAATTCCCTGAGCAACTTTACATTTTATTTTGTTGTAGATAGCCCATCCAACAAGGCTACGGTCGGACCCTACCTTTAAAGTGACCATCACATTATTAATTAGGGTTAATTTCACTGACACTCCCTTAAGTTTAGCCAAATATCACTCTTAAACATATTTCGAAAATAACTATCACTCACATTATAAATTTTTGCTTCATTTTTCACTCACACCCCAACCATTACTTGCACAGTTATGACACAATTTAAAATGACCTAAATACCCTTTGACTTTGTCAAAACAATTATTTAATCTAAAGAATCAGATAAAAAGACTAAAATATCCCTAAAACTATATACATATTTATATATATATATACACATTATATATATACATACCCATTTGGTTGATATATATGTATATATATATAGATACCCATTTTGTTTGAACCCATAATAAATTTATACTATATATATACACACACACACACACATATACATAATTAGTTTTAGATATGGACATATACATAATTAGTTTTAGAATACCTATTTTGTTTAAACTTCATACTATATACATTCACACACCCACATAATTAGTTTCCTATTTTAATTTGGATTTGTTCATGTATATATTAATTTGGAACTTTTATTAAATTTGTTTTAATTCTAAGCCATCTGTAATTTATTTTTAATTATAATTAATTGAATTTATGTTCAAGTATTTTTAATTGTTATTATAACACCCCCAAATCAAATTTAGTGGCATTAATTTTGATTTTTTCCACTGAAATGTTTGTGACTCCACAATTATTTGCCCCAACTTCAATTCTATTATAGAATTGTTAGCAAATAATTTTGCAATAAACCTAAATTATATGATCACGAGTCTCTTAATTCCCAATTATCCGTAAAAAAATATATGGAGAACGGTAGAAGATACAAAAGTCTACCACTCTACAATCCACCTAAGAATCAATCAAACAGCAACCAGAAGAGAGAGAATTGAAGTGAAAAACAGAAATTATGAAATGGGTATTGAAGACTAAGAAAAACAAAAACCATTAAACCCAATTGAGGAGTGATTAAGGCAGTGGAATCAGAAATTACAGAAAGCCATGAAACTGAAGAACTCAACATCCAAACACATGAAGAGAAGAGAAGAGAAGAGAAGCAATGGTGAAGATGGCCTGCCCCAATCGCAGACCTAATTTGTCGTCTCTGCCTTCACCGCCGACCACCCACCAATTTATTAGTTCGGCAATTTGCCGCCATCGCCTCTGTATGCGAGTTGCGATTGTTACATATATATATATATACACACGCGCGCGCGGGGAAAGTGCAAAAAAACACCTGAAGTATACATTTCATAGCACTTTTACTTCCTATTTAAAAACGTGTGCAAAAAACACCCTTATTCTTTTCAATTTGTGCGAAAATACCCCTCAATTAATATAATGCCTATTTTACCCTCTTACTCTTCCAAAAATGTCACTAAACTCATTTTCTCTGTTCTCTTTTAACCTTTTTTCTTTCTCCAAAGGAGTTGCCCACACACCGATGAGAACAGAGGATGGTTCAGCGGGTTGGCAAGGCGATACATTGGGGCTCCTACATTGGACTTGCAACACATTTGGATTATGGAAAACTCAAAGGAAGAATCAACTGAATGAGTCTGAAGAGAACCTAAATGAAAACAAAGAGGCAAAACTGATAATGTAAATTCTTAAATGTCAACTCCTCCATTTTTTTTTCCCTTGTACTCGTGCTTAGTAATCAAATTTACATGAGCTGTGTATGCCAGCACATTTGCAATATAATTCACAACCAATGCTTATAAGGTACTGTTATTTGAGCTGCATTGATGACCTGTTTGATTGTGTGTTCAAATCTAGAGAGAGAGAGACAGTGGCCTACGGTGTATGGATGAAAATACTTCCATGCGTGTGAACACACCAGCAGGTCCAGCCTACGCAATAGAAAATATTTTTATTACATTTAAACAAAATATAAATTTATGTTATTAATTTGCTATTATATGATATGATGGACCATGCTTTTACATCAACTTTGGCTAATAAATTCAATTTGCTAATAAATTCAGTTTGAAAAAATTACTCGTATGAGGAGATGATACGTATCTCTCATTTTTTTTTTTGTAATTTCATGAACTAATGAAATTTCCGGCAATGGGTTGAGAACTGAAATTTCCGGTCTGATGTAGGAATAAATTTCGGCCTGAATTTTCGGCTGTTGCTGGAATAAATTTCATGGGCAGTAATGCTTGGCTTACTTCTTTATTCCGGCTTGACGCAGAAATAATATCCGACCTGATGCTGAAATTTTCGGCGTGAACCGCAGCGGTGACTCACCGAGGCCGGCGACAAGGATGGTGGCGAGAACGGGCTCTCCCCGTTTCTCTTACCCTCCCACTTTTCTGACTCCTCCGATTCCGACCATTGCCTTTCCTATTCCCAAATTCCAAAAAAAAATTAAAAAATTTCCCACTCTGTAACTACCAATCTTACAACTACCAACATAAAGAAGCAAGCCAAGCATTACCTTTCTCAGGCTCTACCCCTCTGCTGGATGAAGCCCCTTCTCCACCGTAGGCCCTCTATTTACTTTCAGTGTGGTACCGCCATCACTTCCTTAAAGAGGTAACGCCGGAACAAACTCTCGCTGGACGTCCTGGGTTAGCACCAAGATGAAGAAGAAGAAGAAGAGTCAAACCCTTTTTAGTCATTTCACAAAATATTATATATATTATAAAATGTGTTGCTAAGGGCATTTTTGTCTAATTTGTATAAATATGACCTATTTGCACAAATGTCATAGTTTAGGGGTGTTTTTTTGCACGGGAGGGGTGCAATATGCACTGTAAGCATATTATAAGGATGTTTTTTTGCACTTGACTCATATATATATATATATATATATATATATATATATATATATCTGAGGGGTATAATGGTCATTCAAGTAATATGATATTTTGAAATAAATAGGATTAAAAAATTATATATATCTGAGGGGTATAATGGTCATTCAAGTAAAATGATATTTTGAAATAAATAGGATTAAAAAATTAAGAGCAAAGTTATCTTTTCTCATATTTTGAACGGAAAAATAAAAATGGATAGTTATTTTCGAGTGATATTTGGCCAAACCTGTGGGGGTGTCAGTAAAATTAACCCTATTAATTATCATAATGCCATTATGAGCATGAAAAGTCGCCCCCATATCTATACACTTATGTCAATACACTCTTCATCATCAATATATAGGCAAAAGAGCAAAAAACTCCCCGAACTATAGAGTTGTTGCAAAATGTCCCCCTAAATTATTTTTGGGAGCAAGTTGTACCCCTCAACTATACAGATGTTGCATATTGCCCCCTTATAATTTACCGGAGTGTACTTTCCGTCGGTCTGAAGGGCACAATTACTAAACAACCTCCCACTTATTAATTTATTATTAAACTAATTAAATATCAGACGTGTAAAATATCTATAATACCCTCTGTTAATTAAGTTAACAAATTTGATATTTACGGGTGCAGTTATTACAGAGAGAGAAAATGAGGTTTTCGTTTCACTTGATTGTGTGTATCTATAATATATTCCAAGTTTTTGAAAGGATTGCACTTGATTGTGTGTATCATCTATAATATCTTTCAAGTTTTTGAAAGGATTGCACTTGATTGTGTGTATCATCATCTATAATATCTTCCAAATTTTTGAAAGGATTGCATTTGATTGTGTGTGTCATCATCTATAATATCTTCCAAGCTGTTGAAAGGATTGCACTTGATTGTGTGTATCATCTATAATATCTTCCAAGTTTTTGAAAGGATTGCACTTGATTGGTTGTATCGCTTATAAACTAGAAACCCCAGACTAATGGGTTTAGGTCCAGACAGGGCTATGAAGAAGAAGAGATAAGAAAGCAGTTTCAGTCACAGGATATGTTCCTATTGTGGGTCGCTCTTCAATTGTGAGTGTTTCAAATTCGTATTTTAAGGTCCCATCTTGAATCATAATTGTGGGTTCACTTCAAGCGCATCTGAAATTTTTGCTTCAATCTGTAAGTATGTGTTGTATTACAATCTTGTATGCCTGTTATTTTGTTGATTTGCTGGTTATTAGAGATTTGCTTGGATTGGATTTAAGAAAAGAATATTTTAAAGTATTATATGCCACTTTTTTTAACTTTTTGCAAAAGATTTCCGTAGAAGATTCTTTTCCACCTAATGGAACACACTCAAAAACTTTCTAATGGATACTAAAATGAGAATAAACAATAGGTTTGTTCCCTAGAAATGGCTATAGAAAAATGTCGTTGCTTGTTCTCCCTGTTATCCCCCTACATTCATTTAACAGTCAAGCCTTAAGAAATGAATCAGTCAGCACTGGTAGCATTCCCCACCCAAAAGCGCTTATGTCATAGGGAAATTTGAACTCAATAGCTTTAATCAGAGCATTTGATAAATGAGATATATCATATATGTTTATATAAATGTATAGTGAATCGATTTCATTTGTGAAGTGGTACATCTTCTTAACTGTCGATCGAATTAGCATTGTATAGAACAAATTGTGCATTGCCATTAATTTGTGAATCTTCCATAAAGATTTAAAATTAAAAAAAAAAAAAAAAAATTTATTATTATTATTATTAATTCAATTATAAACAAACTAGTTAAAATAGGAGATCATACAAATGTGGGGCTATAAAATAGTAAAGTTTTCCTTTAAAATTTGGATTCTGTATTATTTGTCACTATCAACTATCAAGTATCATGTGTTCTTGCAGCTTGATTTCATTTTTTCAACTTTTAAAGCCCTTTGAAACCTAATATATATATATATACAAACCAGCACATATCACAAATGGTGACTATGACTAAACATGTTGCTCTCAGAATGTTGCCAATCAATCCCCACTACTCCACCAATATCTCAGTGGAGTTTTTCTAGCTACTATTAGTATCACTCTACACTTTTTATATTTTTCTTCCATTGTTTGGAAACATAATGAAAATATTAATCACTGAAAAATAAAATTATTCTACTTGTCACAAGTCTTCATCTTGTTGTGAACTTGTTATGAATACTGTTTTGTTTTTTAGGTTGATTACCTTTTTTCATTTTTTTTTTTTTTTTTTTTTTTTTTTTTTTTTTTTCGCCTTCTTGTTTATTTGTCTTGCTCATTTTTACTTTTTTTGTGTTTGTTTTGTTTTTTTGGTTGACTACTTTTTTTTCAATTTTTTTTTTTGGTCTCTGTCTTGTTGTTTCTTTATCTTGAACTTTACTTTTTCATTTACAGATACAATGCAAAAGGTAGTTATTGATGGCTTTGTGGATGAGGGGTTGAAAAACACTGAAGTTGACGTGCAATATGACAATTCTAATTGGTAAGATGAAATCTTAGCATGGGCTGGAATGGAAGATGTCAATGTTGAGATTGATGAAAATGTTATTGAAGGTGGCTTTGCTGAGATGCGTGAAGATGTCAATGCTAACTTGGAGCATGACTTTGGTCAGGTGGGTGAAGATATTAATGTTGCCTTGGAGCATGACTTTAGTCAGGTGGGTGAAGATTTTAATGATGATGTCGAGAATGATATACATGAGAGAGGGTACCATTTTTCAGATATTCATTCAACATATGCACCAAGTGATGAGTTGGAAAGCTTAAACAACTCATCTGAAGAAGATGACGATATGAAGTGCATGGTTATCCAAGAAGGGTTATATATGAGAGTAAACTGATAGAATTAGGGAAGAAATTTGAATTAGCTAAGAAGTTTAGAGCAGCCTTGAGGAGTCATGCTAAAAGTGAGAAATATGATTTTAGATTAAAAGAGAATGAAAGGGGTGGAGTTAATGTTGTATGTGCCCAAAAATGTGGGTAAAGGATTCATGCAACCACTAACTCATTGAATGGAAGCTTCCAAATTAAGACTTTCAGATCAAAACACAATTGCACTTGTACTAAGATTAATGGGCAAGCATCTTCAGGTTTTTTGGCAAATAAATACATGGAGGCCATTAGGGATGATCCTGAATGGAAAGTAGGTGCAATGAAGAAGGCAGTCTTAAGAGATTTGAATGTTTATGTTTCAAAATTCAAGATTTGAAGGGCAAAGCAGAAGGCAAAATTACATTTTGAAGGGGACCATGGGTTGCAATTCACAAGGGCTAGAGACTACTGCTAGCTCATTCAAGCCACCAATCCTGGTAGCATTGCTGTGACCACTATTAATAGACCAACACTGGATGACCCTGTAAGATTTGGAGGGTTATTTGTTTGTTTTGAAAAAATGAGAAAGGTTTCTTGGAAGGATGTAGGCCATTCATTGGAGTTGATGGTTGTTTTCTGAAGGGTCCTTACAAGGGTCAGTTATTAAGTGCAATTGGGAGAGATACAGACAATGGTCTTTTTCCTATTGCCATAGCTGTGGTTAGAGCTGAAACAAAACAGTCTTGGGAGTGGTTTAAGGAACAACTAGAGAGTGCTTTGGGCCCTCTACATAGATTTACATTTATGTCTGACAGACAGAAGGTATAAATTTTTAAAAGTTAATTTTAATTTTAAGAAGTTTTTTCTATATTATATATATATATATAATTGTTTGTTCTATGATTGTTTAATAGGGTTTAGTAGAGACTTTTGAGTACAAGTTGCATGGGACCGACCATAGATATTGTGTGAAACATATGTATGATAATTTCAAGAAGAAGTATACGGGGTCGATATTGAGAAATGAGATGTGGGATGCAGCACGTGCATTGACTTTAGATACATTTAAATGTCACATGCAGTGTATAAAGGAGATTGATAAGGAAGCCTATGAGTGGTTGTCAAATGTGCCTCCTAGGTTATGGTCAAGGTCCAAGTTTGATGATAATTCGAAATGTGATTTGCTTGTTAACAACCTTTATGAGACATAGAATGACAACATTGGTGATGCTAGGGATAAGCCATTAATTACTATGTTGGAATGGATTAGAGACTATTTGATGTATCGATTTCACTCAAAAAGAGAGTGGATTCAAAAGAAGCAAGGGTTGTTATGCCCTACAATAGCTGAAGAGTTGAAAAAGTTAATGGAGGACTCTAAGTATTGTAGTACCAAAAAAGCATGAGAAGACATATTTGAAGTTTACTACAAAGGGCTTAATGATTGTGTCAATTTAGAAAAGAGAACATGCAGCTCTAGGCAATGGGATGTAAGGGGTATACTATGTATGCATGCCATTGCATGTATTCTTTCAGAAAGGGGTAATCCTGAGAACTATGTTGACATTTGTTATCATAGGGAAACATATTTGAGGACATATACACCTATTATATTCCATATGCCCTTTAGGCTTTTAACACATGAAATTGGCACTAATCCTATATACACACCCATTGTAAAGCCTTCAACTAGAAGGCCTAAGAAAATAAGGAAAAAGGCACCTGGTGAGGTCAAAAGAAAAGTGATGTAGCTAGCAGGCAAAGGCCAAATCTTAGTTGTAATAAGTGTGCAAATCTGGGCCACAACATTCGAACTTGCAAAGTAACTGAGGTCACACCTAAGGCTGTTAGAGGAGGTGGAGGTGGTAGACCTAGACTGCCAGTTGCTTCTGGCCTACCAGGTGGACTACCTGACACTGATGGAATAGTTGCTATAAGAAGGGGGGTTGTAAGAGGAAAAATGGGGAACGGTAGAGGAAAAGGGGTTGGGGCTGCAACAGTAAGAGTAAATGGAGAGGCTACAAAAGGAAGAGTAGATAGAGGGCTGCAAGAGAAAATGAAAGGTAACTGCATAAGGTAATTGGTTTTAAAGTCATTTTTATTTCTATATGAATTAATAGACCTTAAAATTCTATATCATTTTATTTATATTTTCTAATGTTAATCTTTTTGGTTACATAGGTGATGACAATGTCGTCAAGGAATTGGAATTTGCTGAATAGTTTATTACAAAATTCATCAATTGACTTGAATGCCTTATGGAGTAGTTAAGCATCATCATCAAGGTATGTGATTTTATTTAAAGTTACAAATATTATTATTAACAATGGACCCAATTTATTATTGTTAAATGATATTAAATTTTGTTTTTCACAGGCTTACTACCATGGACCCAGGAATTTAAGTATCATTAGGTATCCAACATGCAAATGCAACTGTTGGCCCATTTTTGGTGATTTTTGGAGCTCAAGGAATGTAACAAGATAATGGAATAAATTGTTTTTTTGGGTGATTTTTGGAGTTTAAACTGTTTTTTAATAATAACAGCATTTGATGCATTTATCAATATGTTCTTATGTTATTTCAGTTATTGTTTTGTTTGTTGTTGTTATGTTGGACATAAACGTGGCAAATGTTGGCTGTGATTTTTGGATTTTAATGTTGGTGGTGGTTTTTGCAATTGGTGGTTGTGGTATTATGAATCAATTTTTTTTTGTTGCAGTTGGTTCATGGGAATGGATGTGTTTAGTATACTCCATTAATGTGGTAGGTGCAATGTATTGCATTGAAGATATACAATAGTAATTGTCTGTCATTCTATATTTTACTCCATATCATTTAAGTATCATTTCTCTTCCTTTTCCTCACTTCGGATAATATTACATAGATTATATTAAGTTGGGAAAAAAGAAAAGGAGCAGAAAATTGAAAAGTTGGGAAAAAAATTAATTTGCAATCACAATTACCTGCATAATTAGAGAGATAGAGATTTAACATTGCAACCACAATTATATTCCATTAAATTACCACACAATTATTAAATCCAAAAATAAAGCCAATTGTAAGAGGAGAAAGATTAACTTTGAAAAAATATTAATTTTAAAGTGAAATTCACAACAAATGGGTCTTATAAGCAATTGAGGGTACAATGGTTATGTGCAAGGGCATTTTTGTCTTTAAACATAAAAATTAAGTCAGATCGCCAGAAAGTACACTCTGGTAAGTTATAAGAGGATAATATGCAACATTTGTACGGTTGAGGGGTGCAACTTACTCCAAAAAATAATTGAGGAGACATTTTGCAACAACTTTATAATTGAGTTTTTTTTTCTCGTTTGCCCAATATATATCTATAAATTATTGTTCATCATATTCTTCACAACGCACGGTGATTTCTGATTAAAAAAAAATTAAAAAAAAAAATTAAAAAATTAAAAAAAAAAAAAAATGCGTGTTCACCACAAGAGAAATCACGCAATCATCAAAGCAAATAATAAAGGAATTCCAGTAAAAACTGCAGGGTATTGCCGACGGAAAAGAAATATTGGCCTAAAATCCCCAAACCTTTTGTTGGAATTGCGTAGAAAATACATCAACGACGGGAGCGTCTTCGTCGGGAGCGTTGGCGCCGTCTGTTGTAGCAGAAATCTCCACAGCAAACCCAATCGCAATTGAATAACCTGAATATGTTTTCTTGGATCACTAAGTAAATGCAATCGCAATTGAAATTTATTGATTGCAAAACCCTAGCGCGTTGATCATCCTATGCGATCGCTCAGAAATTAATCTCGCTAGAGCTCCCAGCGACTTTCAGCATATCGCCGATGTGCTCCCTCCCTCTCTCTGTATCCTCCCTATATGTGTCGCATCCCTCCTGCGTGTACTCTTCTCTTGAGTGTGGTTAGAGAGAGAAATGATAATTTTTTTTTTGTTTTTTTGGGGAAAATGATGATACTCCGTATCAGACTACTACTTTTAAATTGATCATGCAGCGGTGCAATTTGAGTTAGGTAATCCGAAACTCGGGTGTTCGACTTTTTTTTGAACTTGGACAATTATTTTTATAATTAAGGTTGGATTTGAATTGAAAAATCTATATATAATATTTAAATTATAATAATTAAATTTTTTAAAAATTTGTTTGTATTTTATTAAAAATTTACAAAAAGTCTTTAAAATTCTTCTTATTTGAGAGTGATTTAATCTAAAATTAATTCAAAATCATATTAAATTTTTGTTATAAAAATTACCCATATAAGTAACTCAAATTAATCCGAAATTTTAATCTAAAATTTAAGTCCGAATTTAAAAATAAAATGATGGGTTGAGTTCAGACTAAATAGTTAAGATAAATAATTTAATTTAGATTTAACATTTCATATGATGGGTTATATCTTAAACCCGCCTTAGCACCGCCCTAGTACGAAATATGTTACACCTTCCGCCCCTTTTTAATTATCTGTTTCGTAACTGTGACGAAGGAGTGTATAAATAACTGATTATAAAAAGAGAACGGGGTGAGGGGTGGTTGGCTAGTTGCGGTGTTCATTTAGGACCCACCAAAAAATTAGATGAGAGAGACTAATAAATTTTTTAGAAGATTATATTTTAATGACTAATAATACACCGGATCGACTTCCTTCCTCCAATTATTTTTTATTTTCTGGTGAGGCTTGTAAAGAACTCTCAACTTTGTTGCGCCCCTAAATTGTGATCCTAGTCTGCGTTGTCGGCATCAGTTTCTCTCTCGTCCAGTGGCTCCTCGCTGGCATCGTGATTCCGGTCTGCGCTTAGATTGTTTACTTTAAAACTTAAAAAGACAAGCAATCCCTACAATATATATACAAACACACATACAGCCGTTGTATATAACTCTTTGCATAAAGCATCCATTACATACATGTGTTTATATGCATCATTCACGGTATAGATTTTTACACGACGGCCGACATATCAGCAACTATGGCTATTAAGGTCATAAATAAGTTGATAAAAAGTGGTACCAAATGCTTATCACAATCAAATAATCACCATTTTGCATAATCCTTTTTTATGATCATTTTACCTTAAAATCATTGGAAAATCCAAGCATAGTTTATCAAAAGTTCACCTTGACATAGAAGTGATAATGAAATCATACCTTTCAAACTGGTTTGTCCAATATACAATCCCGTGAGCATAGTCAGATTTCCAATTTCTCTGGGTATGCTGCCATTGAATTCATTGGAATTCAATGCTAGACCTTGGAGTTTCCTGCATCTGTATAAATTGGACGGAATTTGGCCGTTAAGCCGATTCGAAGAAAGATAGAGTATTTGAAGTTGAGGAAGATTGCTACATATGTCTAGTGGCAGGCTTCAGGATAGGCTATTATCTATGAAATCAATTACTACCAAAGAAGAAATGTTGAATATGGTAGATGGTATGGAACCTGTGAGCCTGTTAGAACCCAAGTATAACTCTTTCAATCTATAAAGATTGCCAATCTCGATCTTTGGGTATATGACCACTGAAATTGTTGTAACTGATAGAAAGTGATGTGAGAAATGAGTGATTTCCAAGATGCGGTGTGATGGTGCATTCGAGTCCCATATAAGAAAGATGCAAGGCTGTGACCCTTTGGTGGGTGCGACCGCAAGACGCACCAATCCAGTTGCAGACCGAGGTAGCGAAAGACCAGTTTTTGGCCAATACATCTTCGGGGTCAGAAGTGATGTGAGCTCTGAAGGCAAGGAGAGCAGATTGATCTGTAGTCTAGTTTTTGATGGACGTGGCCAAACAACAATGTATCAACAATGCACTGGACAAAAGGATTGGAACTTTTTCCATGAGTTTTGAGTTTTGTGGAGAAAATATGTGGACTTGTGAGTTGTTGTATGTAGCGAAGAACACCAACCAATATTTTATACACTGTTGAGGTGGTTCATGCACAAAGTTCGGAACAAATTCAATTAAGGCAACCACAAAGGTCAATTGAAACTTTCACCACTCAGCCCACTATTAATGAAATGAGGAGTGCCAAACACAGCGCAAGTCACTGTGCATTCACAGTAGCACATCTCATTGGTTGAAAAATAAATTGTAATTAATGTCCTATTCCTATTTTTTTGTTCAACTTCAAGATCAAATTACACTTTTAAATTATTTCCTCTTTCTTTATACCTAATAACCTTCATTTTTTCCTTTGTTACATATATTTAACTTTATTATTATTATTATTATTATTATTATTATTTTTCCTGATTGGATATATATTGCTGTACTTCATTCTTTACTTTCTTTCTTTTTCTGTTCACTTGTCTTTTATATATATATATATTCCACCTTGATGGATTTTTTTATTATATTTTATGTAATTTAATTGAAATACCAGCATGAGATTGAGTTTTAATTGAAGTAATATTATAAAATTTGAGTTTTAGTTAATATATGAGATAAGAGAAGTATGATTTCCCAATCTATTCAGAGTATGGTTAACTACATATATATATATATATATATATATATATATATATATATATATATTGAAAATGAAAGAATTGAAAGAAAAAAAACAAAAAAAGAAAAAAAAGAAAGGAAAGAAGCAATCAATTAACATAATTTTTTTTTTCTCTGTCTTTATTTAAAGAAGATGGAGAAACAGTGAGAAACCATTCACACGGTGAGCATATATATATATATATATATATATATATATAGTTAAAAACAATTGAAAACAAAAAAAGAGAGAAAAAAAAGAAAAATAATAAGGTAGGTAAGCAAAGAAGAATGAAGGATATATATATATATATAGATATATATATCTACAAATACATACGTACAAAAAAAAGAAGAAATATAAAAGAATAATTTGGTCTTAAAAGTTAAAATTTTATAGTTTAAAAAAAATAAAAAAGAAGCATTAATTACAACTTGTATAATTAGATTTTTCAACTAATAAGATGTGCGACTGTGAATGCATAGTCGCTTGCACGACTGTGTTTAGCACTCCTCGATAAGGAGAGATTATCACTTATACATCATAAAGTCAGAAACCAATAATTGAAGCCCTTGGTTGACCTATAAGATAAGGCTAATGTAAAACCATTTCATATATTATTTGAGGCATTGTCAATTTAATGTGTTGTCAAAATCATTGACTTTTCTTTTTTCTAAAAACATTAAATATACATTATTTTTCATTTTAAATCCATTTATTATATATATTCTCCCAAAGTCTTGTAAACAATGTCCTTAATAGCTGAATGTAGATAAGTACTTGGTAAGTCATAATATATATTTGGGAAAAATGCAAAAAAAACCCTTGAAATATTGGGTTGTTGCAAGTAATCTCCCGAAACTACAAAAAAACCCCTTAAACTAACAAATTATTGCATTTAACCCCATAAGTTTAACAATAGCTACCGAAAAATCCGAATGACAACATTACCCCTTAAGTAAAACGACGTAGTTTGAATCTTGAATGTCAATGAAATCGCTTAGCTGTCAAATGAAATCCAATGGGCCAATAAGAATTCGACAACACAACTTCATCAGATAAGGTTATCTATTATCCCTTCATTTGCGCCATTATCTAACCCACAATCAAGAGGCGTCATTTACAGACCATTATCAGAGCTCTGCAACTTGGTATTCTCTCAGCCGTAACCACTGATTTGTGCTGCTACAAAGACCCAAGGATCTGCTTGATGCGAAACCTGGTACTTTGGATCAGTAAAGCTCGTACCCTTGTTTCATAATTTTTTCAGTTTTATTGTAAATGATTTATATAGAGATAATGCTGTTGTGATAAAGTGTAATACCCTAACGATTTGTGTTGTTTTCTTACTTTTGACAAACAGTTAGTTGTCATTTTCAAAGGATGGGACATACCTGAGGCATATGTTGTGTTTTTTTTTAAAATTTTTTTGATGCTTTATTTATGCATTTTCTGTGTTGTACTTTAGTGTTCCCTAATGATTTGTGTTGTTTTCTTACTTTTGACAAACAATTAGTCATCATTTTCAAAGGATGGGACATATATACCCGAGGCATATGTTGTGTTTTTTTTTTCATTTTTTGATGCTTTATTTATGCATTTTCTGTGTTGTACTTTAGTGTTGAAAGGTAATTTAGTGTTGCATTTTCATATGTAGTCTTTATCAGTAAATGTTGTCTCCTTTTGCTTCTAAAAAAAAGATGTTGTCGGCAGGAATCACTGTAAAGTGATTTATATCATTGGTGGTCCCTCTATTTTACTTAAAATTTGTCAAATGTTCTATGGTCTGTAGTAATCCTATTATTTATTGAATCGTCAAATTGGTTCTATGTCATAAAGTGATTTCTACAATATGTTTATATGAAATCTCCATCACCATCAGTAAATGTTGTCTCCTTTTGCTTCCCGAAAAAAAAAAAAAAAAAAAAAAAAAAAAAAAACACACACACACACCCCAAAGTAAATGTTGTCTGCAGAATCACTATAAAGTGATTTCTATCATTGGTGGTCCATTTATTTTACTTAAATGTTGTCAAATGTTGTATGTTCTGTAGTGGACCTATTATTTATTGAATTTTCAAATTGGTACTGTTGAATAATTGATTTTGTCTTTCTATTCTTAAATTGTATTGTCTCTACATTATTTAATTAGTGTAGTGCTTGTTTCTACTGAATATTTGGTACTATCTCTAACTGTGACCACTGTTTGATTATTGCAATTTCTTGTTGTAGATGGATGGTTTGTCCACAATTGAACTTCATCATGGGGGTGTTTTTAAGAAATCACCCATGTGGAGAGAAAAATCTCCCTCCAATAAGAATTGAACATGTCATCACTATATAAATCTACAATTGGTAGATTTCAGAAGCCCATCTTGATCAAGCCCAAATTATATTATTCTTTAACCCAGTATCATTTATATTGGACCTCCAAGGCCAGGTAAAAACATTAATCAGCCCAACGTCACCACTGTTGAAGTTCCGGCCCATTGGTCAAGTCATTTAAACCAAGTTGCATCCGGCCCAAGTACAATTAAATATTATCCAGTCCTATTAAGCAAAGGATTCAACACAGAAGGAAAGTTCTATATAAAGCAAGTTCTACATAGGAAATATTATACGATAGAAATAATTCTATTTGTAAAGAAAGTCATGTATGGGAAGAATTGGAGGATAAGCAACGCGAGTCCTACCTTAATTCTACCAATTTTTGTATATAGATAGAGGCCCAGACCTCCAATAAAGGGATCCAAGCAATTCTATACTTCTCTATACATTGTTCTTGTTTATTTTTACTATTCTTAAATGTGTTGTATTACTTTTCTCAATCGTTATTGGTTGAGCAGAATTTTGCACCTACACTTTGGCGCCGTTTATGGGAACGTGTGCAAATATATTCCCACTCTTGTTTCACAAGTAAATCCTGCAACTACCATCCGGAATGTCGAACGGAGGATCTTCAACAGATCAACAGACGGAGTTGATGCAGAAGATGCATGAAGAGTTTCTACACCAGTTTGATGTACTTCGTTAAGCAAACGAAGCTAGCGTGGCTCAGATCGCCTTGCTTCAACAGCAGAATAACACTTTACAAACAGCGATGGCTCAGTTGGCACCACCGCCACCACTAGGTGACACAGCAACACCCCCTAATCAGAATATTCCTCCAGTTAACGGGCTTTCGCCTAATGGGGCACGACCCAACGAGCCTCAGCCAAACGAGGTTCAGCAACAACAGAGGGCAAGGTCCGAGGCTGTTGCCTCAGACAACGTCCCTCGTCGCACGCAGGACGAGCAAGTCGAGTCTAGCCATAAGCTCACGGTGTGGTCCAATAGAATTCCAGATGGTATAGGTGTTCAGGATGCCTTTGATGAAAAAAGACTCCTGAAGATTCAGACACTTGCTGAGATGGCTAAAGAGCATAAAAACTCCCTGGTCAAAACTCCTTTCACTGACAATGTGTATATGGTTGAAAGGCCCAAGAAATTTACCATGCCTTCTTTTACTTAGTTTGACGGTACGGGAGATCCTTCTCAGTATCTAGATCATTATGCCCAAAAGATGGCTTTAGATGACCGTAATGACCCTTGGATGTGTATAGTTTTTCTTACTAATTTGACAGGAGCAGCATTAAAGTGGTTCAAGAATAGGCCACATAAGTCCATCCCGGACTACGTAACACTGTGCACCATGTTCTTAGCACAATACTGCGGAAATAAGAAGCAAAAGAAGAGTAATGCTAGCCTCTTCACCGTAAGACAAAAGAAGGGGGAAACACTATAGGATTTCTTATCTAGATTCAGCATGGAAGCCTCGAAAATAGTAGACTGTCATCCCGTGACTGCTATAGAAACATTTAAACTTGCAATGATTTAGGGGACGAAGTTTCACACTTCCTTGGTCAAATATTCTCCTCCTGACATGCAGACTCTCAATTCCAGGGCCCAGATCTACATTCGGCTCGAGGAAAATGTAGCCCACCGAGCGCAGCACGCCACCCTCGTGACAGTAGAGAACAAGCCTCAAGAGAGAATTCCAAATTCAAAGATTCTAAAAAGCCAACACGCCTCAACGCCGATCACCCAGGCACCTGAGAAGAGGCAAAGGATAGAGGAAGGGTTTACACCTCTCCGAACTACCTTGGCTCGGCTCTTCCAAGAGAATAAGATAAAGTTCACAGCCCCACAGCCAATGAAGCAACCCTTGGAGCAGAGGGACAAAAGCAAGCATTGCGCTTATCACCGAGATTATGGGCATTCAACCAATGATTGCAGATCCCTTAGGCGATAAGTGGAAAATATGATAGCTAGAGGTGAGTTGGCAGACTACCTCATGACGAAGGAGTATGTAAAGCCCCGCGAGGTCTATCCTTGCAAGGTAGAAAATACGCAAGTAAAGGTCATTCATGCAATACATGGCAGATCTGAAGATGATCAAGAGTCTGAGGGGGTATACAGATCCAGATTGAGGGTAGCCCACAAGCTCAGAAAGATATCCTCAGTCAATGCTATCGCTTCGGGTAGCATCAGTATTGGATTCGGCGATGGCGACCTATCCAGAGTTCAACTCCCCCACGAGGATCCATTAGTCATCAGTCTTTTAGTGGCCAATTGTATGATCAAGAGGGTTTTGATAGACCCAGGGAGTAGTGCCAACATCATTACAAAGACGGTCTTTGAGCAGCTAGAGATCCCGTCATCATCTATTCGACCTACCTCTAGCCCATCGATGGGGTTCGATGTCACAAGAGTAGATCCTCTTGGGGTAATAGACTTATCCATTATTGCGGTAAAGAGGACTCTGAAGGAGAACTTTGTCTTAACAGAGATCCATCCTTCCTAAAATTTCATCATGGGAAGAGGCTGGATACACTGGATGAAAGGAGTTCCGTCCACCCTTCATCAGGTGATGCGGTACTTGTCTCCGGACGGAAAAAAGGTTATTAACCTATGGGACGATTAAGTTGCCGCAAAGGAATGCTATATGCTGACACAGAATGAAGCAAAGAAGGTGTCTAGACAGCCTAAACCAGGTGTGACTTCCAGAAATATACTCAAATAGCAATTACAGAGCCCTCTGCCCAAGTATCTTAAGGTAGAGGAGGAAGAAGAAGTTGCGAAGCCTACCGAGGAGACCCTCAAAGCCGTAGAAGTTATCCTCGGTGACCCTCTAAAGGTCACTTATTTAGGCTCTTCTTCCACGTCCGAAGAAAAGGAAGCATTAGTTGATGTCATTCGGAGCAATGCAGATGCTTTTGCATGGGATCACTCGGACATGGTAGGAATCGATCCTTTAGTCTCCTGCCATAGCCTGAAGGTGGATCCGGAGTTCAAACCGGTCAAGCAGAAACACCAAAGGTTTGACCCCGAACGTAATCGCATTATAGCTGAAGAAGTGAACAAGTTGTTGCATGCAAGTTTCATTCGAGTAGTGCAATATCCACAATGGCTGTCAAACGTGGTGGTCGTACAAAAGAAGAATGGAAAGTGGAGGGTTTGTGTAGACTATACCAACCTTAACAAAGCCTGCCCTAAAGATAGCTTCCCTCTGCCAAAGATAGATCAGATGGTTGATACTACTACTAGCTACGAGAGGCTGACATTCCTTGATGCGTACTCAAGATACAATCAGATTCCTATGAACCCAGAAGATGAAGAGAAAACGGCTTTCATTACAGAAAAGGGGACTTATTGTTACAGGGTTATGCCCTTCGGGCTGAAGAACGCCAGGGCCACTTATCAATGCCTTGTTAACAAGATCTTTGATAATTTTTTAGGGAAGATGGTTGAAGCATACATAGATGACATGGTGGTCAAAAGTGTGAAGAAGGAAGACCATCCGAAGCACCTCCAAGAAGTTTTCAATACTCTGAAGAAGTACAATATGAAGCTGAATCCATCCAAGTGCTCCTTTGCTGTATCATCAGGTCAATTCCTCGGCCATATAGTGAATAAAAGAGGGATAGAGGTAAGCCCGGCTCAGGCTAAGGCCCTCATACAGAATCAGGAACCAAAAAATCGTGGGGAGGTGCAAGTTTTTACCGGTCAGATCGCAGCCCTCAGCCGGTTTATATCCCGATTATCAGATAAGTGCAAACCATTCTTCGATGCTATAAGATCTAAGAATAAGTATATATGGGGACCTCAGCAGCAGGAGGCCCTCAATCAGTTGAAACGTTATATGGCCGAACCTCCAATTCTATCCACTCCAAAACTCGAAGAGGTTCTTATTATATACTTAGCAATTTCTAGCGTAGTGACAAGTGCAGCATTGATTAGAGAGGAAGGAAAGAGTCAATATCCAGTCTTCTACACAAGTAAAACAATGACAGATGCGGAGACACGGTATAGCAAAGTGGAGAAAATTATCCTAGCCTTGGTTTATGCCAAGAGGAAGCTTCGGCATTATTTTGAATCTCATAGCATTGTGGTACTCACCAACTATCCTATATGGGATATACTCTCTAAGCCAGATCTATCTGGGAGAATTACCAAATGGACTATCGAGCTCAGTTCCTTCGATATAACTTATGAGCCAAAGGTGTCGCACAAGGGATAAGCCTCAGCAGACTTTCTTTTAGACTATGAGGACACTCCCGAAGAGCCAAAACTCCCTGAACCACAGTGGGAGCTTCGGGTCGATGGCTCCTTGAACCAAATAAGTGCAGGAGTTGGGGTTGTTATATCAACACCCGAAGGCACCAAGTTACAGCAGTCTATTTGCTTGAATTTCCCTGCTACAAACAATGAGGCTAAATATGAGGCATTACTTGATGGTCTTCGATTGGCCAGCAGCCTTCAGGTACGTTGCTTAAAAGTTTTTAGTGACTTATAGCTTGTTATAAATCAAGTGATAGGTCAGTATCATCCCAAAGAGGAAATGATGAAAGCATATAAAGAAGCTGTGGAGAATGTTACACGAGGATTCGATCAAGTCGAATCCACCAGGTACCTCGTGTTGAGAATGCTGAACCAGATCAATTGGCCATAGCAGCGTCATCTGATAAGCGCCGAATATTACATATTCAAGCGCCCTTAGTTGCATTAGTTAAGTCCATTATTTGATTATTTTATGTAGATTATCTTCATTTGCATGTTTTTATATATTTTCAGGTTCATTGGCCAAAAAGGAGCAAAAATGATGCTTTGTTGATTCTTTAAATAACAATGTGCTCAAGGCTAAAGTTCTGGCAGCAGTGGAGTTTGACTTTGCTCGCCATTTTTGACCTAACAAACTCGAGAACTGGACTTCCATTAAAGCATGGTGTATTTAGAGCTTTGAATTAGCTGTCCAAATCTTTAAAAGGTTCGTCATTTGGAGTTCGGAGCAGGTCAAGAGAAGAGAGCAAGCTGATGGAACTTCGAGCGCTCGAAGGGCTTACTTCGAGCGCTCGAACTTTAGGCAGAATGCTCTCCAAGATCCATCACTTCAGCCCACTTGCTCCTTGATTCCCTCATTTTCTGATTTCCATCTTTATGGGTTGGTTGGAGATGTCTTTTGGTGGGGAGTTGAGCCTTGTTTGGTAGGGTTTGGTGGAGAGGATGTCTACAAAGGAGGGGGAACCACACATAACAAGATATATCTCATCTTGTAAGATTTTTAAAGAGAGAAGGAGGAGGAAAAGATTGAGTTCTTGAAGCTACAACAAAGGAGCTCGAAAATGGAGGGATCTTCCAAGCTTCTTCCTTCTTCTAAGGCTCCCATGGGTAACTAAACCTCCATCTAGGGAGGTGATGAGGCCCCTCCCTTGTAAGCATGTTCTAATTTAGGCTATATTTTGGGGATTACAATGTATATTCTATGGTCTTTTCATAACCAAGAGCACTTCTTTTGTTGTAATGAATGTTGATATATGTATGGATGATTTCTGTAAGTTGATTATCTTGCTTTAGATGATGTCTTATATTAATCATATTGCTTGAGTTTTCATGGTGAGAATGGAGACAAGGTTATGAAATGGTTTAATGGCATGTTGATAAGTAGTTTGATAGATCATTGCTTACGTGAAGCCTTTGATGGTTTATGCTTATTTCTTACCTTCATGTGCTTCATCATTTTATCTAGGGCTTGATAATCTTTCATTCAAGTAAATGTGCTTAAGCTACACCTTAGTTAGGTGATCTAAACATGTTAACCTTTGATGGATCATGCTTGTTTGAGATTTAATGTGCATCTTGTTGATTATATGGCAACTATGTGTTGCTATATATTTCTTGACCATCATATATTGTTTTTCCCCCCAATTTAGCTCTAATCTAGCATGTGTATAGGGATGGAGGCGGATTCACTTCCCTAGTCCTCTTTACTTGTATTTCATCTCTTTTAAACTCTTGCAAACTTTTATTTTATACACCTTACTTTCATAGCTTAAGTGACAACCAACAAATCCTTTATGAACACCCCGTATCATTCTAAAAAAACTCTAGACACTTGGGTTGCCATAGATTAGCGCAGTCCCAGTGGTTCGACTTACTCGACCAATAGCCCTATTTTACAATGATTCGTGCTATTGCGAAGGTTGATTTATTATAGATCGAATTCTCAACCGATCAATTTTTAGCGCCGTTGCCGGGTACTGCAAATGGTTTAGCAACCAAAGTTTTAGGGTTAATTTTGGTTTGATTGTCAATATTGTGAATTGTAAATATTTCTTGTATAGTTTGACCATCTTGTGTTGTAAGTGAGATTCTAGGGACTCGAAGCTCACTGAGGGAAAGATAGCTAATTTGTAAGTCTAGAGGACCCTAGGTAAGTCTCTTGACCTTCTAGTTTCGACATTGTGAATATTGTGCATGTGTTAAACTTAGTGATAATTTAGTTTTGAAGCCCTTGTTGAAGCTATTATCTTGTTTAAATTTCATGTACAAGCATCGGTCCTTGTCGTGGCCATTTAAATTCTGTCTTGATAATTGAGGAGAATGGGAACATCGTACGTGGAGTTATGAATGATGAATAATTGCGTTGATAGCATTAAGTATTGTTGATGTTTGGCCGTAGATTACTCTCCCTACCAACTTTTGACTCGCCAGTTGATATAAATTCACTTGAAAGAACTCTTAGACGAAACCTTAGGGAACCTTCTAGCGTAAGAGAACTTGAAACTGAATTTAACACAATGGCTGCAAATGTAGGAGATGTCAGAAATGAGGGAATTAATAATGATGGGGCCGAAATTCTAAATGTAGAGCCAATGACTCTCAGGGACCATTTCATCCCTACTACCTATGCTTCACCTTCATGCATAGTGATGCCAAACATCGATGCGGCTCAATATGAGATCAAATCAAGTACTATTCAAATGCTTCCATCTTTCAATGGCCTTGATAATGAAGATCCCTATAAGCATCTTAATGAATTCTTTAAAATCTGTTCGACCATCCGGTTGAGAGGTTTCCCTGAGAATGCACTCCATTTGCACCTTTTTCCTATTTTCTTTAAAGGATAGGGCAAAGTATTGGTTGAACTCACTCATTCCAAATTCCATCACTTCTTGGGCTCAATTACAGCAAAAATTCCTTACAAAGTATTATCCGGTGAGTAAAACCAACCAAATGAGGCGTTCCATTCTTGGCTTTTCTCAAATGGATGGAGAACAACTCTACGAGACTTGGGAAAGGCTACAAGACCTTCTTAGAAAATGTCCGCATCATTTGATTCCAAAATGGCAATTAGTGCAAGCTTTTTATGCTGGCTTGACCGAACCCCATAGATTTATGGTTGACTCTTTTTGTGGTGGGATGTTCATGTCCAAGAATGCGGATGAGGCTTGGACCCTACTAGAGAATTTAAGCGAAAATTCACTTCAACATAATTCTTGTAGGGCTCCGACCTCAACCAATGCA